TAGGGAGGCAGGAGCTGAAGTCAATTGACTGGGAAACGCTATCTCTGACACAGGCAAGAGCGTGTTTGTGCAGCTGGAGCAGTCTGCAGGCAGAGGAGCTGCTGCTTCAGCTCTCTGCCTTCCCAGCCTACACCAGTTTGTCAGTGACACTTGAGGGAGGTGGTAGTGCTGGTGTGGAAAGCTGAGATGAGCAATCGGCGTGTTCCCTGGGAGGAAAGCCTGCACAGAGACCTGAGCTCTACCACGCACACGTTGCTGCTGTTGGGAAGCCTCGGGATGAAATCCCCGAGCTAGCTTATGTTCTTCTCCTCCAGGTCAAAGCTCCTTGGAGGTTTTTGTGGAAGAAGATGTGACCAGCAGCATGAGGTGAGGCTACCATGTAAAGCAGGCAGGAAGGAACCACAGAAAACCCTGCAAGGAAGCTATATGGGTCGCTTTTATATTACAGATATAGGACTGGTTTTGTAACGGACTGTTTAGGTGATGTTGTCACCTGGGGCTGGTTGATATGTCGAAGTTTGTGCTGTTCAGGCGCAGCCCTTCCTTTTCAGAAGCCTGTTTGGCGCAGGGTGAGGTTAATCACTGCGGTAGCGGGGGTCCAGCCTATGCCATCAGGCCTGGGAGCCTGCCAGCAGTTGCCCTGCCTCGTGTGGGCTGGCATCACGCGAGTTATGTCCCGGGATTCCTGGCTGTGACCAGCCTCCGAACGCCTGGTGGTGCCGGAGGTCGGTCAGCTCTGGCCTGAGCTGAAAGGTGGACGGGCAAAGCTCGGGCGAAGGCTGGCAGAGCTTCCTTTGTGCCTGCTACCTGGAAGTTCGGCAGAAGGGGACAAAGCTCATCAGCGCGGTGTTCAGTAATGCAACGGAACGGTCCGTCAGAAGAATTTACAGCTCCACCTCTGCACGGCCTGGCTGAAACAGGCTTGTGGCTCTGGATACACTTAGATTTATCCGCACTTCCCTTGGGGTCCCATATGCTGGCTCCATCATGCTTTTATCACCTGTAACTCACCCTTCAGAGAGTTGAAATAATTAAAATAGCTCTTCTTTTACAGACCTGGACTGGAACTGAATCCCCCAAGTGAAAAGGTAAGTTCTAAGGAACAACCTACACACTATTTGTCTGGACATCTTGCCTGGGTTGATACCTTTTGCTGAGCGTTGCCACCGCAAGCAGGGAACGTGGCCGAGGCATCGTTCTGTCGCGTCCCTTCGAGCTCAGCGAAGGCGCTGCTGAGTTGGACAGCTTAGGCAGCTGGTTAGGCCGGCTGGTGCTCGGCTCCTGGTGGGCAGAGACATTTTGTGCCGTGATAAGGCCTCTTCAAGACGGAGTTTTTGGAGGTGCTTGGCCAGGTTCCCGGGAGTCAGCAAGCTTTTGCCTGTCAGCTGGGCATGGTAACTGACTGTGTATTCTGAGCCTGTCTCTGTTGCACAGCTGGTCTGAGCTACAAAAAGCAGGAGGGCAGTTCAAGTTGATGTGCTTTCCTTGGCCGCCGAGGCGATGTACACAACAAGCCAGCGTAAGCCTGCAGTGCTGGCAGGACAAAGAAACCCATCCCCGCCTTTGAGCTGGCAAAAGCTTCCTGCGGGGTTGTGCTGCGAGAGCCGAGGTGAAAACCAGTCCAGCAGAGAGGGGTGGGCTCTGCTCCGGAGCAGCTCCCTGCTGCCGTGGGGAAGCAGCAGCGGCAGCGGGAAGGGGCAGGTGGCTCTGCTCTGGATCGCGGTGGCGGTGGCTTAGCAGGTAGGGGAAAGCACGGCCTGTGTACGGGCAGCCTCGTAACACGGTAGGGTGTTGCGCTGCAGCGACTTTTTTGCTTGTCCTCCTGGGAATATACCGTAATGGTACTTAAAGTGCCTAACGGCCTTGTAACCTGAGACACGGTACAGGCTCTCGTCTTTCTTTCAGGACTGGAATATCCGTAGTTTGAAAACTGGTGTCTCCAAGGGGTGTAGAAGCTGCCTGTCATTCTCGAGGCACTTTGACTTTGAAGTCCAGGCTCAGTAAAGCTCCTGCTCTGGTTGAGAAGTGCTGGGCAACTGTCCTGCCTGCGGAGGCTGGTGTTTCAGGAGCAGAGCCCCTGTTGCTGAAATGGGGCAGTCAGCGTCCGTGCAGCACAGCTCTAGTCGAGGGAGAAGCAGGTGCTAGCCTAGCAGCTGGATTGCAGTTGGAAGTGACTGGCTTTTTCGGGGCAGCAGGTCCGTGGTAGCCTTGTTCTTTGGAGCAACTGTGCTAAGAGGATGCTTGTTTTCTTTTCCTGCAGAGTCCTGAAGATGTCCTCGTTTCAAGCAAAAGTATGCAAGCTGCCAGCCCTCCTGCCCAGCGCTTTTCTCCTCCTGAGCAGCAGGCAGGGAACAATGAAGGTAACTTTGAGTTGGTTTTGCTTTTCTTGCATGAAGCCCCAAAGACACACAGACCAGGGAGTCAGCATAAGGGTTTGTGGGAGATCTGGGACTCGCGTTGAAACAAAACCACCTCTGACCAGTCAAGGTAATTTTTCAAGTAAACTTTTGATCTCCTGAAGAGGTGAGACATGCAATTAGATAAGCAAGGACATCTTGGAAACATGTCCAAGCCCTGAGACAAATGCTGTCCTGTCCAACGTCAGCCTGCATAACGAGTAAGTGGGGACACTTTGGAAGGAGATTGCTCTTAGACCTGGAGTCTTCCACATAATGTAATGCTCTGTTAAAGCTCCCCGACACCCCTTTCCTCTGGGTTTACATTATGTGAGGATTTGCAGGTCCCGTTTATTTACTGTGCCCCAAAGCAAGGAGAGGGAGAGATTCGGGCTTTTTGTCTATCCCCCACGGGAACCGTAGGATCTGATAAGCAGCTGTAGCTGGAGTGGCGGGAAGAGCAGCTGGAGGACTTTTGGTGAGACAGGCTGTGCCTGTTCAGAAGGGTCTGCACAGGATGGGTACTACAGCACGCGTCCCGGTGTGCGTATACAGCACTGATGATCCAGGGAGCCATCCCGGCTTCTGGTTTCTCAGTTTGGTTACATGCTACAGGGCTCCGAGCACAGGAGAGCTGGAGACAAGAATCGGAGCCCTGCGGGATGCCTTGCACGTGGTGCTAACTACAGATTTCTTCACAGGAAGCTGTGTAAATCCAAACAGCGAACGCCAGAACAAGAACCAGGAACAGCCCCACTGTGCCAAGTCCCAGGAGAATCCCTCACGCATCTGGTATGAGACATTTGCAAGGAGGGAGGAGTGAGCCAGTGGTCTGGAAGGACTTGGGCCTTTTAAGTAATTTGTTTTAAAAAGCTTTGGGTGTTTGTTTCCCTACCTTCCCCCCGACTCCCCCTTCCAATGTAGTTTTGAAACCTTCTTTGGCCAAATCTTGTCTGCCGGGAGTTCCTTGTGACCTCTTGAGCCTTGTTTGGGTCTGGGACCCAGGTCTGGCTTGGGAAGCAGGCACGTGAGCTCATGCACAAACCCGCAAAGGGGACTAAGGTAGCGTGGTTAACTCGCAGCTTAGACGTGACTCTGCATGGTTCAAAAAGGGGTGGTCCGGGAGTAGTTTCAGAAGGCAACGTGAGAAGGTGACTGACGTATTTATTTTTATCTTGTGCAAGTGTCTGGAATACCTGACTTGTTTCCTCACTGCTTGTATTGCTGGTGTTTCACGTGAGATTTCGCCTGCTTTTAGCTTTGCCCTCGGACTCCTGTCCTGGCTTTGCTGGGGTGAATTTGCTGTGGGTAGTGGATGGGAAGGGGAAAATCAGCAACCTCTGTTCTTACATGGATGCTTAGCACGGTGTGATGGGTCAGGATCTGCAGCTTTCCTCAGGGCTGCTGCTGGATGGGGCCCTGATTGTGCAGTGAAGCAGCCCCCCCTGTTTTTCCCTGCAATGAGGGGATGCAGGTGAAGTCACTTCTGATACAGATAAATCTGTGAGTGTCCAAAGTATTTATAAAGCCTGAGAAGCCCTGCCAGTGAGGTAGCTGGGCTGGGTAGTTGCGAACGCACAGGGGTTGCGTCTGTCTTGTGCTGTTAATGCCAGATATAACAAAGACTTCTTGCTCCCCGGGACTCGGAGCGGAGGAGGAGAGCGAGTGTGACGCTGTACGTTGCCGCTCTGGAACACGGGTGTTCCCCTGCCACGCTGTCGCGTGCCTTTCCCGTCCTCAGTCACGACTGGGTGGTGCGCCCGCCCCAGGGCCGACTGAGTTCGTAGGAGTCCCGTGTCCTCTGCTGGCAGCGAGCAGGCAGAGGGAAGTCTGTAACAGCAAGCGAACGCTTCTGGCCAGACTGGGGAGCGTGCTGGTCACCTAATGTGCCTCTTCTTAATGCCGTCAGGACGAGAAGCTATAAACAAGCAATGGGGGTTATATGGAATGGGCAGCAGCCAGGGGGTCACACCCTTTCCCCTTTGGGTGACAAGCACAAGAGTTCAGCAAACCAGACTCCACCTTCCTCCTCTCCGGCTAGCAAGGTGAGCGGGTGCCACGGCCCTTCCTTGCCTCCCTTTCCCTGGCAGGTACTGACTTCCCTCCGTCTTCTCCTCTTAGGTTGTTAGACCATTGAAAAACTTCCTGCAGGCTGTGCAGCGAAACCAGCTGCTCGCGAGCCCGGGGCCCACAGGACGCGGGGGTGTCATAAAGAACTTCATCAAACGCAATACTCCCACCCGACCTGATCTTAAGGTGCGTCGGAGTCCCACCTTCCCTCGCAGGGCTGGAGGAGGGGACTCAGTTTGGGGGAGCGGCAGGAGGGACTGTTTGCTTAGCAAAGCGTAAACATATTCCTAGTTCTGCCTGCTACCATGGATCGGTGCAGGTCCTCGTAGCAAACTGGGCTCACAATTCTACTTCAGCTTCCCCAGGGGAGGGAAACTGGTTGGTGTTGCCTTGCGTGGTCTGTCCACGCACACTGTTCTTGGCCGGGGGTCTTTAGCAGCAATACTCAAACCTTCCTCATGTGCAGAGAAGTCTCAGTTGCTCTGTCTATAGTCAGCAGAAACACTTTATATTCTGGGACTGTTGAACCATAGGAAAGTGGGAAGCTTCTCTCTTTGCTGTGGGGTCTGCCCTTCTGTCCTGCATAACTGGCTGCAGGGCTGAAAGACACAGGCAGTGTGGGGTCAGGCAGCGGGTTCCCTACCACATGCTGGTGAGGAATTGCAGCGAAGAACAGGGTTGGTGTGCTAGGAAGGGGGGTTCTAGTTACTTCCAAACCCTTATTCATTTTTTATGTTTCTTCTCTACAGGGAGACTTTGTTGTAAGTAATGACACCCTTAACCGTGGGGGCTGGAAGATTATAATGGCTGTGCTTCTGGCCTCACGGGCACGGACAGCTCTCTCCCCTCACACTGGCATCCATGCAGCTCTCTGTCCAAATAAGTAAACTGGCCACACTGGTGGTGAGGTGGCAGGATCTCTTTGCAGGTGTGTTCTGCTGGGGCTGGGAACTGCTAGGAAACCTTTTGGCCTCTAAGCATGACGACTTGCACTGTGCCCCTTCTCCCCCCTTCTCCCAGCTGCTGGTGTCGGTAACACCGTCCCAGGCGAGGAGCATTTGCTACGGGTGGTCCCCTATGGCAGGAGTGTGCTCGTCCTTGCCTAAACATATTCTCTACAGCTGAAGGACTGAGGTGTTTCCCTCTTGTACCTGTGACTCTTCTGCTCGTATTAGTTGAATAAGCACTGTTGCCAAACCTGCGTTGTTTCTTCCCTACTATTCACTTCCCATCCTGGTGTGTGGGTGAATATGACAGTGACTTCTTTGTTTAGCAGGCTGCCTAGCCTCTAGCTGCCTCTGCATAAGCAGCCTGAGGGTAGAAACAGGCCCCAGCAATTGGTATAGTCTGAACTCATCTCCCTTCAGGAGAAGGAGCGGCAGAGACTGGAGAGCCTCAGGAAGAAGCAGGAGGCTGAGGAACAGAGGAGAAAGAAAGTGGAGGAGGAAAAGAGACGGCGGCAGGCAGAAATGAAGCAGTGAGTTGGGTCCCTTGCCTCCTGTTCCTTCCCTGGTTCAGCACAGAATTGCCTCGGAGGCCTTGCCTGCCAGGCAGGCAGCACCGCCGTACCGTGCTCTGTGCCTCCCACTTGGAAGGAGCGTTTTGCAAGTGATGCTGCCTGGGCACCCAGAGCGCTGCTGCTCATGGCTCACTGCAGTAAGAACTGCATTGGTGCAAAGCACCTGCCAATGTCTGAACTTAATCCAAAAGTGAGCTGAGGCTAAGCTCAGCCAAAGCAAGGCGAGCAAAAGAACTGTTTTCCCCAATTACCATGGCAAGTCCCTGTTCCCCCATCATCCTCTGTGCTAGAGCAGACAAAGCTAACAAGCCCCTCTTGCACGCACACTGCACAGGAAGAGGGAAGAGCGCCTGCGGAAGGAGGAAGGCACTGCAGGCTCGGGAGCGGGTGGAACAAATGGAAGAAGAGAAGAAAAAGCGGATGGAGCAGAGGATTTTACAGAATGATGAGAAGGTAAGAAGGCTGACCGAGCTTTGGACCGCTCCGTACAGTGGCATTATCTCGGTGAGCCGTGAGACCAAGAGGGTGCAAAGAGGCCCCTGGCACGATACGTGCAAGCACAGGATTGCTGCTGACGGTGACTAATCGGGTGGTGGGTAAGTCTGCATCAGAGACACTGAAACTCTGTCTGACAAGAGGAGGCTTTTGTTCTCCGTACCTCTGCAGTGGTTCTAAACATTCCTGTTCTGACATGCAGTGTTTATGGTGCTCTGCGTTCAAGGAATGTGGCAGCATCCCTTGACTGTCCTGTGAACAGGCCCTGCAGGTGAGGCAGCCTTACGCAGCTTACAGTGCACTCAGAGTGAGCTGTTCGCACAAAACATTACAGACAGTGAAGCCACGGTGCTTGCAGGGGATTGCAAAACCGTGGTGGGAAAGAACAGCTACCAGGCATGCAAGGGATGCTCATGACTAGTAGACTTGGCTCTGCATGTATTTGTGTCGTGTTTGTTTTTTAAAGCCTTGTCTGGCCCTCTTGAGGACAGGTAGAAGGTGAAGAGCACGCTAGGACGGTCTGTTACTGGCTGCATGCAGACAGCATTGCTGCTTTTGTACAACCGTGCAGGTTCTACAGGATTGAGGGAGGCTGTGCCTGACTGGCCCGGAGTCCTTGCAGCCTTTGGGAGAAGAATGGTTGCTCATTTTGGGGGGGTGGACTAAAGTGACCTTTGGAGAGGGTCAGCCTTAGAAAACAAAGGCATCGTGCTCCTTTCAGCCTTTCCCAAAACCCGAGTGGCCAAAAGTACGCTCAGCCCTGGCTCGTCTGCTGCTGCGGGCATGCTAGTGCTTTTACTGGGACAGACAGCTCAGGTGAGGGAACTGTGTCTCTGCGGCTCAGGCAGCTTTCGCATCCCCAGTTCATGCCGCAGTTCAGTTAGTCGACGGCAGCACCGCAGGCAAAGCGGAAACCAGATGCTAGATCCCCTTGTTCCGCAGAGAATCGCTTACAGGATGGAAGCATGTATTTTGGGTTGTGGAATGGTCTCTTTGCTCCTTTCTCCTGTCGCTCCAAGCGATGGGTGTCTCTTCACATGGCCTGTAGTAAGTGGTGGGTTTGCTGCTTGAGGTTGGCGCTAAATCCAATGCACATGTGCCGCTTGCTGGGTGTTGGGTTCTCGGTCTCATTAGGACCTGGAATATCGCAGGCTTCAGACTTCAGAAGCAGTCCCCGTCCTCCACTTGGACAAGGCTGCGAGGTCTGTCCTCGGGGCGGCGAGCAGACGCCTGTGGCTTTCTCAGGTGCGCCTCTCGCAAGTGCGGGAAGAGAAAGTGGCAGAGGAGCGGAGCAAGAAAAAACTGTCGAAGAAGAATGGGGAAGCTGATGCATGGAAGCAGAAAGCGCTGAGGGCGGTAAGAGCAACTCTAGGTCCCTCCTGCGTGTAGAAAAGGAAAGGAGCAGCAGGGAGCCCATGCCCTGTTCCAGCTGGTGGGACAGGGAAAGGTTTCTGCCTCTCCTGCTGCGGGGATTTGTGGGTCCGTGCTGCAAGGTTTCTGTCTTGACGGTTGATGTTGGGTTTGAACACAAATGTACCTGGGGGGACAGAAGGGAGAGACCACCCAACTGGTAGGCAGGCCGTGGAAGGTAAGAATGGGATATAACAAGCACAGGTTGTCTCAAAGCATTCGCTTCGTATCCTCCCAGCTTTCCCCACTTGAGCTGGAAGGTTGCAAGGGTTTCCTTCTTTCTTCTTCAGGAGGAAGATGAATTTGAGCAGCAAGAACCACTGCAGAAAAGGAGAGAGGATGAAGTGAAAGAAAAAGGAAAGAAAGTCTTGGAACTGAAAAATCTTATAGAGCAGCATCAGGTGGAACACGTGAAGGAGAGGTATTAGCTTGTTTCTGTCCTGGAGGAGGGGACATGGCAACAGGCACGGTGAAGCAGTACATATAAATAGTATTGCTGAAACTGGGAGACTGGTGTGAGCGTCAGGCCGTCCCAAAGGTGTGGGGTACTGAAGCAAGAGGCTGTGAGGGGAAGGCAGAGATGCTTTCCTCTATAACTAAATTATAGGGTTTTTTTCCCCAGGGATCACATCCAGCGAGGGAAAG